AAGCTTGAAAACCAAAGAGTTCACTTTGCCAACATGAGTTTAAAACCCAAATAAAAACATGGCCGTTAGCGTTCGAGTAATTCATGACGTAATACATAGTAATATATAATAATGAGTAATACATAAAGCATGAAAGTTTCAGCATCTACTATTTTAACAGATTTACAATTTACGTTGACATCTTTGTTTTATCGACCAATCGTACTGGTCAGTGGAATGAATTTTCAAAAAAGACTTCCTCATACCAGCTGAATAAAGACCTATTGTTTTACAGATAAATTTTTCCTTTAAGTAAAATACTTATAAAAGTAGACGAACTTTCAAGTTTCAAGATTGATTTATTTACCAAATGGGTCAGTGTGTAAACTGCGTCATTTTCTGAAACACACATTTGAAGTGGCTTTCTTTATTTTAATACGTAGTTACTCAAACCAAGGACTTGTACATGTATCAGATTGTATTTTCGGTGTTTTAATAAACTCTCTATCATTACAACTACATGTGTAATGCATTGGTCCTCAACTTCAAATGTGTATATAATTTACATCCTATAGACCACTATAACACTTGGATTACTATTTCACCGACTGGAGCACAGATATGTTTATTTTGTTTCAAGTGTGCGACGATATTACTGGACATGAAATGTCAAGGAAGAACAAGAGTAGCCTAATTTCCCCCTGTACATATATCAGATTACGTCGTAATTTACCCGTGACATACCCGTGCTATTTCCACTGAAGATCAAGTAATAAATATGCAGTGAGAATACACCGAACTATTATGATGCTATGGCGACCCAACCTGGTCGCCACATAATTTTTTGTTTCCGACACCCACCAGAAGAAATATGTGGGATTTAAACACGTGCTCCACTTTCTTCGAGCTTAAAGGGGACATTGGTCGAGATTCTTATTTGATGAAGTTTTCTTATTGGATATTTTTCATATTGATAGAATGTATGTGCTAGCACGATATTTCACAGTTAACACATCGATTAAAGTTTTCTGATATGTGTAGGTCTAGTAATTGTGCTACCGCATGGACTGCAGACTTTAGGGCGCATGGTTCTTACTTTGTGGACCCTCCTCTCCCTACCCCTTCTGGAACTGCAGTTCCACTTGTCATCTCTGATTAACCAAATGGTAAAATTTACATATAACATTGTCAAACATAGAGCGTTTTTAGCCAAGTATATTATTGTCCACACAACCCATTACTACCCCTCCCAAAAAAAAAAAAGAGAGAGAGAGAGAGAGAGAAGGCAATTTCCGCCCATTCTGTTAGTACATCTAACACATTTAAATACGCCGCATTGAACTAATCTGGCATATTTCTACATCTACATCTACATCTACACCAAATCAAAACACAACTGAAGCTTCACTGTTGTATACTCTCTGCAGAGCTTGATATATACAGCTGCAGGTTTATATTTTATTTACAACACCTCTGATAAAAAGACTAGCCCAAACGGAGGATGGGGTCATGGTGTATTGGAGCACAAACGGTTTCCGGACGTGATGTACGTCGGTCCACAGCATGTCAGAGCTTTGTTATGTACTTAAGATACGCTAAGCTTACCAATTCGAACCCATTTGCTCTTATAAAACTATAATAGTACACTGATAAATGGCCCAGGCACTTTTTTACGGAAGTTTGTCAAAGCATTAATTCAGTTCACACTTTGTAGAGCATTTTCCAAATAGAAATTAGAAAAGCTCTTATTTGCAAACAACCCATTTTACCTATGGTGACATAACAAAGGTTATTATTAAGAAACATGCCCTTTATTGTTAACTCAGATTTTATTTGCACATTTACATACAATGAGCACCACTGTATTTGTATTTATTTTTCATGATACATAGAAAAAACGCCTGGGACGTATAGATAATATTATAATAATGTTATTTGAGTTGTTATATCTATCTTCATTATTATTTTTAATTTTTGATTTAATATAAACTGTTGCCTTGAGAAATATGATGCATGGTGACAAATAATTCTGTTGGGCCGGGGTTATAGCCTTGTCACAACAGTAAAATAATATTCTGTAGATTCGCCGTTCTTTGAGACAGATTGCCACAAATCCCTTGTGCCATGCACTGTACCAGTTGTAATTTGCATAACAATAAGCCATGCATCGCAGTGCGAGCTGTGCTCCTGGCTGGTCACTTGACAGCTAGACCCTGTAACAAGATGACTTGCAAGATGATGTGTGGTTGAAGCTCGGACCCATTGCGTACATGTTTGGTGGAACCACGGTTGAAGAAAATGTTTTGTGAGTAAAATATCGTCTAGTAGAGTTTACAAGTGGAAAGAAATTAAATGACCCAATAATGTAGTACATGTACAGTGCATACGTAAATGTACAGGTTGCCTAAGTTGTCGCCCTTAAATGTTACACTGTAGGTAACCGTACTGTAGCTGCACTCGGTCAAGAAACTCACACTGATTGATTTGGTTTATTCAATTTATTCACCCAAAACCAACCGTTAAACTGAAAGAAAAGAAATTAAACAATAAGTAGGCCTCCCGGTAACAGGAACAAAAGTGTAACGTAAAATGTACGTGTATAAGTACTGGACACAAATTGAAAATACAAGAAAAATAAACTAAAAATGAAACTGAAAATTACACGAAGTACATAGGAAAGTGTAAGAAAAAAGATAGACAGAAACGCTGTGAAGACCCAAAGCCGTAAGCCTTAAAATAGACTACAGTACCTTGTCCACTGACTGAGTGAGCTAATATCGCTGTAAAAGGATAGACAGAAACGTTGCAAGGACCTAAAGTCGAAGAAGTTTACGTTTGAAGTAGATTACCTTGTCCTCCTACTAAGTGAACTAATATCTTTAGAAATGTCCCTGTCCCGTTCTGTGCTTGATATTAAAGCGAAAAAGAAGCAAGAGAGGAAGCCGTATATATACAGTGGCAGGGGCGTATCCAGAGATGTTTCTGACAGTCTTCCACATTATCTTTGTTGTTCCATCCTACATTTTTGACCGTCTTCCGACATAAAAAATAGGTACTCATCAATGTAAACTTAGAAATTTGACCGTCTTCCGGAAGACCCAGCAGACCACCTCAATCCGCCCCTGAGTGGAATGAGAACTGTTTAGTGCATTATGTGTCACCCCTCAAATCACAATATACAGTACTAATGATACTTTTAAATGTCCATGGAAAAACTGACATATCTTTTTCCTTGAATTTTAAATTTAGCTCGACACTCTTTTTAATTTTAATATTGGTTCTTTAAGTATAAAGCGTGAATGCTGGTATTGAAATTCCAGTACAAATAGAGAAAGTATTAGGAACAAGTTCCAATGCAAATCCAAACCACTTTTCCCAAATGTCAATAATTCATATTTTTTAAAATTATTTAACTAGAGTCTATGTTAATCTAAGTGTGCATATATCTTTATTGTAGTTCCTCACCATGATTTTCTGTCGCAAAAGATGTTCTAAATAAATAAATAAGTAAATAAATAAATATCACACTAGAATGACTTTGTTTTATAGTTTCATAGGAGTCTGGTTTGTGTGATTGTATAGATGTGGGTGACATGAGAGGAATCCTTTTTGAAGTGTGACAAATGGGTCAAGTCCATTTAATTTGAGGGGTGACAGGTGGGGTGTGTCCATTTTGTCAGAGGGGGTGACAGGTGGGGCGAGTTCATTCCATGTGAGGGGTGACAGGTGGGGCGAGTCCATTCCATATGAGGGGTGACAGGTGGGGCGAGTCCATTCCGTCAGAGGGGGTGACAGGTGGGGCGAGTTCATTCCATTTGAGGGTGACAGGTAGGGTGAATCCATTCCATTTGAGGGGTGACAGGTGGGGCGAGTCCATTCCATTAGAGGTGTGACGGGTGGGGCGAGTTCATTCCGTCAGAGGGGTGACAGGTGGGGCGAGTCCATTTCATTTGAGGGGTGACAGGTAGGGCGAGTCCATTCGATTTGAGGGGTCACAGGTAGGGTTAATTAATTCCAAATGAGGGGTGGCAGGTGGGTCAATATTA